ACTTAGTTCAGTAAAATATGACGTTATAATGGGTCATTAATCGCGCGTTTACATACTTACACATTTTCTAACGAACTTTTTTATGTGACCGCATCATTGGATTGACTCCCAAAAACTACCTAGAGGAATTAAAACACTGAATATTAATGTTATAATGTAATAAAAAAATAGTATGGTCTAGATCAATTTGTTTTTAATCTAACCAACAATATTCATTGCTTATATTAAAAGTCTTCACATCTACTTCGCGTCAAAAGAGGTCGTATGAACTATGCTCTTTGCTTTCCTAATTGGGAAAATAATAAAAGTAATGTATTTATATATTTTAATTAACAAATTGTGTTAAACATTCTAAAATCTTGTCTTCGTATTTCATGTAAATACTTTTTTTTACAATTTTCTAGGATATCAACGGTTCGTCGCCAGCCCAGCCCAAAACAGCTTACGTCACCACAGCTGTAACAATCAATAGTCCGCTGCCACCCTTGATTAAGTCGCCGATCGAATTTCAACCGAAACTAACAAAGGGAATGCAAGGCAAATGCTTTCCTGCCTGAGTTTGTTTTGTCAGCTTTCAGACTCTTTGAAAGTGATATTAGATGATAAATTGCATCTTTTTTTGGCGAAGTAGAGGCTTGATAGGTTTGATTGTTGATAAATAGATAAATAATAATAAGAGTAATAATAGATAAATTTTGTATAAATTTCATACTGATACAAAACAAGATAAACCATATATAGTCAATCTCCTTTGTTTGTTGAAAAACATATTGTATTATTTTTATCTAAATGCTTCTACACCTAATAATAACTCTGAGAAAAAACAATACCACAAAACTCCTAAACTACTTTCTGAGACAAGTACTCCTCTAGGATCAATTTTGGACAGATAAAGTGACTCAGTTAACATTATAATCGGCCCCATGAGTAATGTTTTGAGCCACTCCAGTGCAAAACTTTATTTGGCATAGCTTTCACAGATCAAGGACACTTTATCGATTCGGTACAACACGCTTAAAAGATATGGCTCTAAGACAAATATTCCAGGAGCATGGACAAGGACACAGAAAATAAAGTGAAAAAATCGGATCTCGTTTTGTTAAAAAAAGCTTTATCTATACTTTAGATATCTATCAGATGTTGGAATTTGGAATCAGTTTTTTGTTACAACCTTTTGTGACATATCTTTTCTTTATCGGTTGACCGTTTTATTTGGCTTCAAATTAGCTTTATCGCATTGTAGCTTCAGTAGCAGTTGTTTGAATAATTAAGCAGCTTTTAAAATAAGGATTACTTTATTTCACTAGCAGGTTCACGTGTAAATGATACGCATAATAAAAAAATCGTGTTGAAATTCTATTTAATAATTATTTGTTTAAATTTACTATTATTAACACTATTATTGCAAACCGTAGCGTTATTTACTATTGTAACGCTACGGTTTGTAATTGTCATCGTTCTCTTTGCTTGTATTTTTCACCTTAATTTTATTCCTAAGTTCTATACATGCTAACTTAATTAGTCTTTGTATAAAGGACTAAAGTTACCACTTAGTTTAAACCATTAGCCACCTAAGATAATTAATAAGAACAGAAATGAGAACAGAAAAGGAGTTATGTAAATGTACGACGACGATGTATGCTCTTTAAATATATGTTCACTAATTTTTCTGCCAATTGTTGACTGATGATTTTCAGAATCCTTATTTATTTATTATAATAAATAGTTGTTTGACCCTAAAATTCATTAACAGTTTCAACTTTATTATAATTAAATAACCGTCAACGTCATTTTCAAAAACAACAAATTAGTTGTAAGATACAGATTGCAGATAGTGTTGAACACTATTGAAAGAAAGAGAGACGTGCTCTATAGTTTTTTTTATTTTTATTTTAGAACTGTACTAAGCTGATATAACCCTGCATTATATTTTTTTTGACATCATATTTTCAAGTCTTATTCTTTATAGATACATAAACTGTGTCAGCTCTATATATTTATTTCCTATTATTAATTGTTATAGATGTGTCGATCTTCGAAAACAAGAAGTGCGAGCCCATTTTTATCTCGAAGTACTGTACACCTTTAGTGTAACTCAATTACTACAACTTGAAAAAGAATTATCATAAAAATATTTATATAGTTGATGTCTTTACGTAAAAATAATATTTTGTGATGATTGTTAATAAGTATAGGACTATGTGATTATTTGAGTATTTATATCAATATGAAAATACAATTCCCTTTCAACTATATTACTTCGAACCCACTAACGCCCTACGGTTGAACAACCTGATAATATAGTTATCAAGTTAGTTATTAAGTACAGAGTAACTACGGTCCAAACTCGTAGCAGCGTAGTCGATGCCGCTACGACTTTTCTAAACGAGCTGTTTAGTAACGTTCTATGAACCAAGAACGTCGTGTCGTCGTAGCGATTTACCATTCGAGAATCTATACATAGTATATAAAAAAATAAGTTAAAAAACTAAATCCCGAGTATAGATAAATAACGCTCAAAAAAGTTTGAAACGAGAAATTTATTTTATAGCGATAGATATATTATGATAGCAATGACCAAAGCACAGCGTAATCGTATGCTACAGCAATTGGTTTTGTGATGATCAGTGGCATAAGACTATGCGTTAGTCATGAAACACTGTTGGGAAATTGGAGCATTATGGTGTGACGAAAAATTCACTTAATCTAATAAAATCATATATTTCTGCTAGAATTCAAAAAGTACTAATTCATGGAGCGAAATTTGCAGGGGCATCAGTTACTATAGGCGTACCTCAGGGATCGGTATTAGGACCATTGCTTTTTCTAATTTACATTAATGATCTTCCTCACTTTACGAAGAATTTGTGCGAGACAGTATTATTTGCAGATTACGCCTCTTTACTGTTTAAAGTTGAGAGGGGTAATTATTGTTTTGACGATGTAAATGATGCTCTCGACAATGTTCTACGGTGGTTTGATAATAATAATTTAAAGCTCAATTCAAATAAAACGAAATGCATAAAGTTTGCATTACCTAATGTGAGGCATGTCAGTACACTTATAAATGTAAATAGTGAAAAAGTTGAGTTGGTAGAATCGACAAAGTTCCTTGGTATTACACTAGATTCCCGACTGCAATGGGATCCTTATATATATAGCTTGTCAAGTAGACTGAGTTCTGCAGCTTTTGCTGATAAGACCCTCCAATCTGCATTGGGCCAGCGTGGAGGGTCATGGCCCATCCTCCTTAACCATCCTTAAGGAAGGCCTGAGCCCCTGCAGTGGGGACGTAAGAGGGCTGATGATGATGATGACGATGCTGATAAGAAAATTAGACTCTTGACAAATGTTGAAACGGCAAGATTGGTATATTTTAGTTATTTTCATAGAGTAATGACGTATGGTATATTGTTGTGGGGTTCTGCGGCTGGCATTCAGGATATTTTTATTGTACAAAAGAGAGCTGTCCATGCTATATATAATTTACGGTCTAGGGAATCTCTCAGAGAAATATTTAAAGAAATAAATATTCTGACTGTTGCCTCTCAATACATCTATGAGAATATTATGTACACAAGAAAACATTACGATTCCTTCACAAAAAAAAAGTAGTGTTCATAATCTTAACACAAGAAATAAAAATAAACTTGCCCTTCCAAGCTTCAGACTTCAAAAAACCAGAGGATCATTTCTGGGTATTGCTATGTTCAATAAAGTTCCACAAAATGTAATTGACCTACCCATAAATAAATTTCAAATTCATGTAATGAACATACTTATGAGTAAAGGCTATTATAAAGTTGATGATTATTTTAAGGACCGCAATGCATGGAATTAATAGCCTTCGCTCTATTCTATAACGATTAATTATAGGTATGTACCAACCTATGTCCTACATAATCTGAAACTTGTATTTATTATTGTTCAATATATGTATTATTTTGGTAATGACTTAACTTATGATAATAAGCTGGTTAGTTTCTTTCGCTTGTTTTTCTTGTCAGCTAAAAGACGTCCTGAACAAGTGGTAGGGGAAAAAATATTTTTGGACGATTCAAAAGTGCTTGTAACAAGCTTACTTGAATAAAACATTTTCATTTCATTTCATTTATGATGTCCTTTGGTCATCACTATTATAATATAACTATCGCTATGAAATAAATTTCTTTCCTGTTTAATTTTTTCTTCGCTACTAGAGATGAACTATCATGATCAAAGTAACTGAATCGTATTATAATGGTGAAATAATCGAATTTAAAATAAAATGAGTTAAACGTCACTAAAAAAATCGAACGCTAACAAATAACCTGTCGTTCACCTTAAGCGACAACGAACTTTGTATTTATAATTTGGTGTATTCAAGTTTGCTTAGTAACTTAGCCGACAAGTATGCGATAACGCAAAGCAATATCGCGTGCTGTATTTTAACTTAATTATTTATACCTAATAAATAAATAAAAGAATAGACATTAATCTGTATACATATGTATATTATTCAGTAGGAAGAAATTCAGTAGGAAAAATGTGAAACAAATGACAATCAGACAAAACAAATTATATATTAAACTGATTTAGTATTGTATTTAAGTATTTATTAAATGTAAAAATCTATTTACATTTAATATTATAAAGCTGAAGAGTTTGTTTGTTTGAACATATGTATAATTAATCTCAGGAACTACTGGTTGGAATTGAAAAATTCTTTTTGTGTTGAATAGACCATTTATCGAGGAAGGCTTTAGGCTATATAGTATCACGCTGCAACTATTAGGAGCGGAGAAAATTATTCATCCTTGAGGGATTCCGTTGCGTGCGCTGCGAAAACGGTTCAAGATACCAAAAATATATGTATGAAAAACTATGCTCCCTAGGGATCACGCGCGCGAAGCCGCTGGCGGAAAGCTAGTATTATATCATATTGTTTATGTAAGAGGTCTATTACAGAAACTTCTAGTATAACCTATGCCGTTTAAATGTCATATTCGAAGACATTATACCTCGAATTATTCATCGAATTCCTTATTTATTCTAACATGCTCTCAGCTCTCGTAATTTAATAATAATAATATTTCTTTATTTTTCTTCACGATACAAAAAGGTACAGTTGTAGTGAATATATCAGGGACATTTAACTTATTGTGGAGACTGGTACTTGCTGCTTTTGAGTATAAACCCGTTTTACAGGTCACCAGGCGTCCAACATCCTGAATATAGGTGTACATTTTACACTTAAATCCAAGGATTATATATATATATATATATATATATTTTTATGGGATAGGGGCAGACGAGCAGACGGATCACCTGATGGTAAGTGATTACCGTCGCCCATGGACACCTGCAACACCAGAGGGGCTACAAGCGCGCTGCCGGCCTTTGAGAGACGAATATGATCTTAGGGAGGGAAGGGTTGAGGGGTAGAGGGAAGGGAATAGGGAGGGGTTGGGCCTCCGGTACCCTCACTCACACGACGAAACACAACGCAAGCGTTGCTTCACGTCGGTTTTCTGTGAGGCCGTGGTATCACTCCGGTCGAGCCGGCCCATTCATGCCAAAGCGTGGTTCTCCCACCCAAAAAAAAAATGCAATAGACAACATGCAGTCGGAGGTATGGAATTGAATAACAAGCCAAATCAGTCTCTCTTTGTGCATGCCTCCGACTGCATTTTATATATGATGTTCATAATTTTTTATCATGTTCCAGCCTTTTTAGTTAGTTATTTTTATATAGGCCGGTTTTTGATTTTTTTTTAATTATAATTTTATTATTCTCTTTAGTTAGGCAAACGAACAAAGTCCATATTTTTAAACTTTCTCATTGTATTATTTTTATAAGTATCGCGATAATTATGACATATTTTTTGGAATCCTTTAGTCTCATACCCATATTTTAGTATTTGAAATAACAAAAAAATATCTTTATATATAATGGTGCCGCACTGCCGCCATATTTGAAACTTTTAACGTTACCTCTCTCTCCGGAACACTCAGGATAGTAAGACAAATCTAATGATACCTCAATTATCAAAATTCGTTAGCAGTTCTGCAAATATGTAGTAATAAAGAATATTACATACGTACAAGATGCGCGCGAAACATGCAAACCCTTCCTTTGCAATCGGGTAAAACAGGATTTTTGTGATATTTGACTTTGAATCATCATCATCAGCCGTAAAACGCCCACTGCTGAGCATAGGCCTCCCCCATAAATTTCCACGACGATCGGTCCTGCGCAGCCCGCATCCAGCTTCCTGCAACCTTTATAAGATCACCGGTCCACCTGGTGGGGGGCCTACCCACTGAGCGCCATCCAGTACGTGGTCTCCATTCCAGAACTCTTCTGCCCCAAACTTTGAATAACATAACTGACTTTGAATAACTAAATGCTATTATTATAGTGCAAATTTGTGTGTTCAGATATAACAAAAAGTATTTTAACTCTTTTTTTAAAGTCTTCAACACTTCTCCATAATTACAGTGCCAGTGGAATCTGACACTATAAAATGTGTCAGGTTCCACAAAGAGCACTGTAATTATGGTTCACAGACATGTCTGTGGTATGAATATTTATTTATGTTAGTAGAACAACGCACTTGCATATTAAATATGGCAATAAAGAAGTCTTTAGTCGTCACTTCACCCGTTTTGGACGCTGGCCAGCGAAGACAGCAAAGAAACCACTAGATCAAAACCATAATAAAAGAAAAAGAACTCTGTAGCAACGATTTATAATTAAGATTGCTATGATGCTCGTCTCGTAAAACAAATGACTAAGGCACAATGTTAATTTTGGATGTTTTGCAATATTCGTACTATTTTTCCAATGAATGAAATCATGTTTAGTGGGTCGATGACATTTTTATATAACCCTCACAAAACCCTGCGGGGGAATTAAAGTGTAAAGGATAGAGAAGTGCGGGCTCGCTACGTCACAACTATGTAGAAAATGTACAACGGCGTGACGTCACGCGACATTTCAACTCAATTTATCGCCATTATACACTGATTACGTAAAAAATACGTGAGTATTTAGCATTCTTCGGTATTCTACCAGACATACAGACAGTCAAAAGTTATAGTCATCATGCCTATTCGGCATTTGGATAAATTTATTTCAAAAAAACATATTGAAATGAAATATATCCGCATTCTATCTACATAATATTAAGTAAATACTGAAGTGTATAAACTGGCAGTATTCATAAACGATAAAAAAATGTTAAATTTACTGAAATAATTAACCTACTTTTTGCTCAATTAGCCCAGTTTTCGACATAAGCATAATATGCATTTGTCATAAAAAAAATGTATTGATGAATTACAAAAGTACTTTAAAAAATATATATCTATATTTTCAACTTTAGACTGTCGTCGGGAACAACAATCTAGTCATAAGATATGAAATCTTAGCGATGTTATGGCGATATTACGTTACGTTTCACTACTTCCACAAAGTGTTTTGGTAGATAAACGACTAAGTTTGTAACACTTGTGTCAAATCATTCGTTCTTTCAGAGTAGTAAAATGAAAGAAATATCGCCGTAACATCGCTATCGTATCTTATGGCTTGAGAGATAGACAGACGTCCAGAAAATAATATATACTTTACTCCTCAAATAGCTTTAAAATAGGCACTAACATTAACCTTTTCATGTAGATAATTAAAAAAATGTATTAGGTATAATCTGAAACTGAAAGATGTAATGTCTTTAATTATGAACGGCTGACAGTGTCTTATCTTAATCCGTCAAACTAAATTCGAGATAAACCTGATGAGGAAAGTGAGTGCATACACAAACAACATTACATCCTTTAACCCTCCTCCATTTGGGCATGAGAAAAAAAATATGTCAAGGTAAAACTTTAATTCTAAAATCTTTGTATAAATTCTAAAAACTTAATGGCACCCAACGAGGTACTTTGCCGCTTTTTAGCGTTGATATAGTTATTTTTTTACTATTTATGTTTTATTTTACCATTTTGTGCAACTATCATTAATTTTTATTCCATTGTTGGATTCACTTGTAAATAGGTACCCGTTAATTGAAGTCAATCACAAAACACGAAACTTGTTTCCTGGGTAAATGTATGTAAAATGTAAAAAGGATTATAATATATATCACAAAAAAGTATTTTCCACAATACTATATAATATAAACTTAATTATGTTGGATAAGTATGTCTATAATTCATTTGCTTAAAGAGATCTTTGTTCAGCCTAGAAGAAAATCTTTTTGCACCAAAGAGGTGGTATTACCGGTCAGTGTTCGATCAATATCTATGTAGTCGAGCGATCAGTCACTGATAAGATCGGGAACGATGTATTTAAATGTAAACGAAAAAGAGCATATTAAACTAACGTTAGCTGTTCCGTGCTGGCCGGTGAGTCGCGTCCATCGTCCCCTTCTCGTCCATTGGGAACACTCATGCAACACACTATAACGCACTAACGCACGATAAAAACCACAAACACTGGACACTATAACATTTTAGACACAAGTATTTTATTTACTGAGATCGCGGGCTATGTGTATTGTGGAGGGTGCTTTCCGGTTACTTTATGATACGATACGCGTTCCCGGTGCGATCGCCATGTTGATTTGGCGATACGGCCGTTTCGCGCGCGCGCCAAATGCTACGCTGTGTTACTAGCTGCTGATAATTTACCCTTACGTTATGGGGATGTTACTCTTTAATAAAGCAGTTTTAGTGCGAAGAGAAAATTATATATTATTAAGTGCAATGTCTTCATTTAATATTTTGATAGAATTTAAATTTTAATCAAAGTAATTTAGACTTGATTGGTTTTTAGAGTCACAGTTATTATTAATGACTGATTAGGTTTATTATCATCTAAGTAAACGGCCTTAAATAAATAAATAGATGATTTATAATAAAATTATTTAATTATGTGCAATTTATTTATTAATTAAAACTTCAGATGATTATTTTTTTTAAATATATTTCAAAATCAATTCATGAGCTGGCATCCCAGTAACGCATGCGCAATGCACCGCCTCTGCAATACGACGTCGTAGAATCCGAACTATTTTTACATCTGCACCTTGTGTGACACTTACCTAAATAAACGCCTTTAGTTATTTATTACGCGTTTACGCAAATAACGTCACACGCATCTAAAAGTGATGACGTCACACATGTAGATAAACGAAAATATTGTTACACGAATTTGATGCTCAGACAACTATAGAACCAAACCAATTGTTTTCTATAATAGAAATTTTTGAATAACGTAAGTAAATTAAAGGCATCTTATCTGTAAAGCCAAAACTGAATTGAGAAATACAAGTTTTACGGTTAGTCGCACAAACGTACATTAAGTAATATTAATTCACAACTATTCAAGTATTAAGTTTGTATTATATAGTATTGTGGAAAATACTTTTTTGTTAATGACGCCTTAAAGCTCTAATGAATATCAAATGTGTATGTCGCTTAAAACTAATGAAAATTTTAATCGACGTTTGTGCAACTGGCTGTAATTGTTTTTAGAACACAATAAGTTTTTAGACATAGCCGTGGTAAACCACAGTAGTATTTTTACTATGGTAAGTCTTTTTTATCGAGCTATCATTGAGCAGTAGTTTTTGAAATTTTAATTGTATTTTATTTGTAATTAAACAGTGTTAAAAATTGTTGAAGTGCAAAGAATTGCCCCCTTACGATATGCAGGATAAAACTTACATGCGTCCAAATCGCTTGTGGGTCTTAATAGACAGGCAAAGGAATGTTTTTTCCGAAGCAATAATTTAAATCAGATTTCCAGTATAAAATTAAAATTTCGTACTTTGTAATTTTTGTGTTAACGACTTCTCAATTTTTATCCTAAATAAACTTTTCAAACATAAATCCGATTAGGTAATATACCTTCATCCCTTCAAAAAAAAGATTCACCCCTTAAAAAAGATAACCTAACGTTCATCCCAACACTGATAAAAAACGCAAAAAAAGTCGCCTTTATGTTTCCCTATGGAGTTGTTCGAAATTTTCTAGTGAAATTCAATTGATCGACTCTATTAGTCGTAAACTTGTATAACCAGCTTAAGTGTGATAATTTTCCTTTTAATTTAATTATATAGGTACTACTGTCGTAACGTTTAAATTTTTAACAATAACCGTTTAGTGACTCTAACGAAAATTGGCACTTTAAAGCTTAAAAAGTCACGAACGGCTTACTAAATCGAAAAAGACTTTCCATACCAATATTTTTGAAAAACCTATCCAATGATATTCCATACTATGTGAAAAAAAAAAATTATTTCCACTTAATATGTAAGGGTCTACCCTAAAACTTCAATGTTATTCATTTTATACAAAAAGAAATAAATCCGTTCCTAGCGTAGCCAAATGAAACTGTAATGTTCCAGCTCAAACAGTTTTCTATATTTACTCTTTGCGTCCTCAAAAATATCCAATGCAATACTTCTATTCGAATTAATTCCAATTTTGAACAAGGATGGCTAAGGAAATGGCGACTAAGACTTTTATAAGTCTAAAAATGTCAAACTGTTAATATTGTGATTTTAGATGCAGATTTTATTACACAATAAAATAAAAAAATATGTCGAAAAGATCAACACGGGAATTATAAAGATAGGTATCAAATAATTAATTATGTAGGTAAGAAAATAATATAATGGACACAATTTTATTAATCCATTTTTGACAGTTTTCCTGTATGTGATTAAAACACATAGATAATGATGATGATCGATGATAAGATTTTAAATAGAAAAAATATAAAACCATAACAATATCATTTTATGAATGAATGACGAATGATAACATTATCTCTGGATTGGCAAAATAGTTGCTACATCATTATTATACAATATTATTAGTTTAGTTATTATAAGTTGCTCAGGATGGTCGATCGTAGTTGGTCGCTCAGGCTTTTTGAGATTTTAGATAATAGTCGGTCGTTCAGTATCTATGGGCATTTCAGTCTTTGGTTCTTCGAAATCCCAATCGAAATTGATGCCTGTAACCTCTGTGTACCATGAATGGTAGAATCCACCACGGCAGAAACCTAGACAACAGAGAATTCGATTATTAGTATGTAGGCACGAGTATATAGTAGTAGCGGCTTCGTCCACGTGATCAGAGAGACATTGTTTATCAGTGCAAAAATAATAGGTTGTAGTTACTGTGAGAATAGACTATGTGGAAAAAAAAATAAAATCGGGTTTATTTTTTTAAGGTTCCGTGTCCTTCAAAGTTCACTTCTTATAATTTCGACAATTGCATAACCGGTGAAACAATTCACATTAAAATTTCATTGAATCAGGCGTTACCTAACAGAATCCATTGTATTTATTTTACGATATGTTGCAACTTCCACACAAAAAGTTAAAATACGGTACGATACGGTAATTGTAAAGAAATCTTGCATTTACTAACTTTATGTGTGAAATTTGATAAATATGATGATTTGTAATAATTCACTACGACAATTTATAGCTGTAGAATATTAGAAACTGCTGATTCTAGCTCTAGAACTTATCAGATTGGTACAACACTCACCAGCAGGCATATCAGCGTGGCAACCGAGAGCGGACACGAACGAGGTGACACCGACAAGTGTGGGCTTACCGTCTTGGTCAATCACTGTCAAAGGACCACCACTGTCACCCTGCACAACAAATTAGTTAAATTACTTACAGATACTACATCAATTTAAGCCCATCTATCTAAGCTTAAAGCTAAAGATATACACCGCTTATGCTCAGTTACTAATCTATGATATCCATAAAATTAAAACGTTGAGAGACTACTACAAATACTATCAGTACTATTTGAGACACTAGGTAGATTTAAGGCAACGAGTTATATATCCGTTTTTTTTAATACAATGTCAATCGAAAAATGGTGAGTACCTCTGAAGACAGTTTCAAACTTTTACTTTTACTTTTTTCAAATACATATTACGTTTTAATAGGAGTAATTTATCGCAAGCAAATGAATGCTTTGACTAGACCTGACATCAAAATATAAACTCTCCCCAACCTTAAAATTAATATATTTGATGAGTCAACTAATTGTAAGTGAAAGAAGTTGTAGGTACTTTACCTGACAAGTAGACTGAGTCGTATCATTATAACCTCTAGCGCAGATAGTGGATGACTGGATGATGCTACTGCCGCCGAAAGACAACCAGCAGACTAAATTGGACACTCCACGTAGAAATACCCAATTCAGATTCTCGGGAGATCCGCCTGGCAAATATTTGAACTTTGAGCAATCTTTTTATTAAACATTCGGTAATATGTCAAATATATTTTAACTCAAGTTTGTGTATTTGTAGCAATTAGTAAAACTCACGGACTAACTACACCCAACTAGGTGTATGACATATTCTTTTGATTCTAGTGTACGATTGCCCTCACCAATAAGTCACAGAATCACTTCATACGAGGGTCAAACTGAAAGTTCTTAGAAAATCAAAAACTGATTACATTAGCCAGTTATTAGTTTTATTATATCTTTTCAAAATATTGTCCATTCACGTCAATACACCGCTGCATGCGATGGAACCACTGGGAAAAGCACTTTGCCCACTCGTCCTTAGGGGTCTCTTCAATGGCATCGCGATACGCAGCCACCGCTTCTTCAGCATTCATAAACCGCTTTCCTTTAAGTTTTTCTTTAATTTTTGGAAATAAATAAAAATCACAAGGCGCGAGGTCGGGGCTATACGGCGGGTGACCCAGTAATTCAACGTTTGATGTCGCCAAATAGTCGATCGTTCGCTTGGCGGTGTGCGACGAGGCGTTGTCGTGGTGAAGGAGGATCCTACTGCGAGGTCGTTTCTCTCGAACTTTTTCCAAGACAAGTGGCAAACAATTGGTAGTGTACCATTCTGCAGAAACTGTTTTTTGATCCTCTAACACAATTGTTGCAAAATGACCTATCCTTCCAAAGAACGAGGCCACCATTTTTTTTCCCGCACTTCGATCTCTCTTCACTTTAGTTGGCAACTCCTCGAAAGGAAACACCCACTGAGCAGATTGTCTTTTGGTTTTAGTATCATAACAGTAAATCCAGCTTTCGTCACCTGTTAGTATGTCGAACACAGCATTTGAGTCACCTCCGTTAAATCTTTCAATCATTTTACGACACCAATCCACACGATGGAGTTTTTGAGCCTCAGTCAAATTATGAGGTATCCACCGGGCGCAAAGCTTCCTGACCGCTAAATGTTCGTGGAGGATTTTGTGCACTTGACTCATACCGATGCCTAAGCTTGTCCGAATCTGTTGATAGATCACTCTTTTGTCAGTCTCTATCATACGCCGCACAACACAGATGTTATCTTCAGTCGTCGCCGTAGAAGGCCGTCCCTCACGTAAATCATCAGTGAGATTAGTGCGACCACGTTTAAACTCATTAAACCAGTTGTAAACAGTCGCACGAGATGGGGCTTCATCGTGAAAGGCCAATCGTAGTCTATCATAACTTTCTTGTTGACTTAAATGACATCGAAAGTCATAAAAAATCATTGCACGAAAATTTTCTCGTGTTAAATTCATGATGACGTGACACAGACAATTTTCAATTTGCCGCCAAATCGTAAAACAAATGACAAATGAATGAAATATATACTCAGTAATATTGGCAAAGAGTTATATTTTCAAATTTTAGAATTATTTTTTTATTATATTGTTTATAAGTGGCCAGTTCTAAGAACTTTCAGTTTGACCCTCGTATATACATATTGTTAGGGGTGTGTTTTATTACCACTTTAACCATCGACTGTGTATATATAAGAATATAAATATAAATATAAATAAGAATTAGCTACTCTTTTTTATTTGTGAGTGTTTTACTTCATTGCTCGTGACTTGTATGACGTATATCATTTCAAAAAAACGCACTTAATTTACAAAAAAAAAAACTACACACATAAACATCGTCTAGGGATATTTTAATTATTCTTAATTTTCTCAGTTTTTTTTTCTGAATAACATACAACACGTTTATATTTTTATATAGCTCATTTATTATCGTAGATTATAGAATAAAACATAAATATTTTTTGTACCTAAAAATAAATTATATAAGTAAAGATGAAAATGGTAAAAATAACGATAAAAGTGTTTTTCAAGAAAAAGTAAAAAATGTAGCGAAATTATTCTGTTATTTGCAATTTTACGAAAATCAATAGTCAGTATCACTCGCGCTGTGTGGAGACGAGCATTGTCGTGCATGAGCGTGAATTCTTGACCCATTTGTAGTCGATGTGGGTAGACTATTGGTACGAGCACTTGGTTGAGGTATTTTACAGCGGTTATGGTGTTTCGGATTCCAACGAGGTCTGTTCTTCCACCAACACGAATTCCCGCCCAAACCATAATCGTCCCGCCATGATGTGGATGGACTTCCTGAGGGTGTTGCAGGCGGCTCTCACAACCAGAAGTGGTGAACTCCTGGTCGTGAGAGCCGCCTGCAATACTGTAATATTCTTCCACGATTTCCTCGGCGTAGTACAAGAGTACGAAGCGGTCTGCGAGCATGAAGATTAGCTTCATGCAGTCTTCTCCAGACAGTTTGGTCACTCACAAGCAACTGATGCTCTGACTGGAGCCTTTTAACCAACTGCATGGCCGTAATATTTGGTTGCCATCTCGCAGCAATTTGCAAAAATCGGTCTTGTCAATGGAGGCTATGCGCTTCCCGCCTAGGTGTCTTTCAGCCACTTCACCAGTAGCACGATAACGTGACCATAACCGTGATATCACATGTTGTTTTGTTCCGATGTCCTCAGCAATACTCCGTTGAGAAGCCCCAGCTTGGAGCAGGCCTACTACCCTTAACATTTCCTCTCTTGTTAAATGGCGTCGCTGCATAATGCATACAGTAGCACAAATTCATATTATTTTTTTAAATTCAAATTTGGAATCATCAAAAGAGGCGTACAAAATAAGTTTTTATCAAAAGATTTTAAAACCGGCCAATATTTTTTGAATTTAGAACTTTATTCAAAATATCCCCAAACGATATTGATGTATGTATTTACCGTTAGTCCAAGTGCGTCCCCATCCACTCGCGGTCATACGGGCTCCATCATAATTATTGTTCATGTCGACGGAACGCTGAATCCTGATCGGTTGGACCAGATCTGCAATACCAAAATGTTAATATTCAAACTGAATACCATATTTGCCATATTATGACTATGGCAAAGGACGAACATTCGGTTTCTCTTTAGAATGAACGGTGGTACGGACATCGAACGTAAGAGCAACCGAAAGAATTTAGATCGATATACCTGCCAATACCATCCATTCGAAATATTAGGGACTCAATAAGTTTCTTATGTTAATGACCATGAAAGTTTATAACGACATTTTCGATTAATCGTTGTCAAACATTAGTTAAGAACTGTCTATAATAAGATAACTATTGCATTATCTTGATCTTCTCTGTACTTAGAAAGGCAAGTTATGCTGCTGTTCCAGCATTCTATCTGCAGTCGTAAGTACCCACAAATCCAGTCTGAGCCTGTTTCAGAGTTATGGTCAGTTTGTTTATATCCACAAGAACGACCTGTTATATAATTCGTAAAGAATAAAAAGAAATATAATTCCTAAAGAAGACCATACAAAAACTAATCACATAATTACCATTGAACTCCAGCCGAATGTTGAACTTCATTATACCGACGTCGTTAGGCTGAACTACCAATGGGAAGTTATTGTTGTAGAGCGGATGATTGTAGAATTCCGAGCTCTCAAATATGTAGTACGGGCGTGTGAGGTTCACTGTACCGGCTCGAATCACGAAATTAATGCGTCTGTAAAATTGATGAGTTGTATCGAATTAATAATTATTGATAGAATTCTCCTAGATTTAAACCTAGTGTATGGAGGGCTATTAAATACAGTTACCCTCATATCTCATAAATGTTCAGGAGAAGTCAAGGTCTGTATCCCACCTAAAATACGCTTCTGCCAGGTCAGGAGACAGTTCGCGTATAGTCTTCCAGACTAACCCCTAGCGAGACCTCAGCGTATATAAGCAGGCCCTATC